TAAAACCCTAAACCCTAGACCTGGAAACCCCGAAGCGACCTCGAAAGACTTGGACGTAAATCCCCACAGCCTTAACCCTCAGCCAGCTCGGGAACTGGAAACCCTCGTCATGAAGACTTCGGGTTTAGGGTTTTGGGCTTAGGGTTTAGGGTTTAGGGTTTAGGGCTTAGGGTTTAGGGTTTAGGGTTTAGGGCGTAGGGTCCAGGGTTTAGGGTCATGAAGATGCCTTTTCCTGCTACGTCGCGACGCACCTTACCTACACAAAAGCCTGCTCGAACTCTGCCGGGCCCTGTATAACCAAACAAGCAGCTGTGTGGGTGCTTGCATGGACACATACAGAAGTACGTACATACATAAACACATACATACACACACACATACATACATACATGCATGCATGCATGCATGCATAGTTGCTGTTTCGGGCGCTTACTTTGAATCGAAGCCCGGCCCCTGAACTCCTCAGCGCCAGGCCAGGTACATGCTCACACGGTCTGTGAAGTGATTGCAGTTATTGCGGGCTGCATCGTAAGCCTCTGCAAGGACTCGAAGGGTCTGGGGTCTGAGTTTAGGGCTTTGGGTTTAGGGTGTAGGGTTTAGGGTTTGCGGTGGCAGGCTAGGGCTGGACTTTGGGATTTTGCTTCTGGAGCTTCGGGTGTATTGACGGATAGATGGTGTGGGGATGTAGAGCTTGGCAAGTCGGTGCGAACTGCGATATATATATATATATATCTATCTATCTATACCCCTAAACCCTAAACCTTAAAGCTCCTTCGACCTAAACCCTAAACCCGAAACCTTAAACCTTAAAACTCCTTTGACCCAAGCCGTAAACCCTAAACCTTTACCAAAGCCCTAAACCATAAAACTCCTTTGACCTAAACCCTAAACCCTCAAGCTCCTTTGACCTAAACCCTAAACTGCGACCCTAAACCCTAAACTAAACCTTTAAAGCTCCTTTGACCTCAACCCTAAACCCTAAGCCTTTAAAGCTCCTTTGACCCAAACCCCAAACTCCAACCCTAAACCCTAAACCTTTAAAGCTCCTCTGACCCAAACCCCAAACCCTAAACCTTTAAAGCTCCTTTGACCCAAACCCCAAACCCTAAACCCTAAACCTTTAAAGCTCCTTTGACCCAAACCCCAAACCCTAAACCTTAAAAGCTCCTTTGACCCAACCCACAAATCCCAAACCCTAAACCGTACCCTAAACC